GTAAGTATATGGTGCAATTTAAATTTTTAATGGTAGAGCTGCAAGCTTGGGCTTGATAGCTAAAACAAATGACTTTAAAAAAATAAATAAAAGACTACATAGAAATATGAAGGCTGTTTCAGAAATGCAATACATGAAAATACAGAGATAACAGTAATATAAAGGAATGAAGGTGATATATGGTAGGCATAGAGTAAAGGGAATGAGTGAATGAAATGACTAGTGAGATGTCAGATCATGAATCATTTTGGGAACACGTGGAGTGTGTGTACTGTAGTATCTCAAATATGATTTAAGGGATTCAGCATTCCTTTTATTCCATCTTTTTCTCATCTGTTCTCTGCAAATGATTGGGGTTGTAGGCACACGACCTGAATAACTGGATGAAATATACTTTTTTTTTATATATACCAAAGGAAATTATTGTAAACAAGATATAACGTACAACAAAAGAAATATTGAACAAATTGTAAATCCCAAGGATTTTTTATTTATTAAAAGAAAACTTTTTATTTTCCAAGGGTCCAAGTTTGGATGTCAGAAATCTAGACACGATATAGAAAAATGTTAAATGGGAAGGTATAGGGATATTTTTCATTATATATTTTAAACAATTTACTTTTCTTTTACCACTGTGTAAATCATTCACATAACCACCACCCCCCAAAAAACCCACCTCCTATAAATTAGCAGGACAATGTTTTTCCATTTTTGAAAAATGATCATTAACATTGCGTGGGATATACTTATACAAAAAATATATTTTAAATTCATATTTAAATGAGCATCCTGCAATTTTTATTTTTAAATCTAGTGATCTTAATCAAGACAGATGATTTGGCCCTGCCATCTGTTCTTAATTTAGTTAAATACCTGAAAGATCTAGGACAGATTTTAAATATTTCTCTACTTTTTCACCCTGGAAGTTAATTTTTTTTTCCAAACCTTATTTTTTTACCCCCACAACAATGAAATATCTAGTAGTAGACTCTCTGTTGTCAGAATCTTTTATTTACCTTGTGATGCATACATCAGTCAAATACTCATCTAAAAATTCCCTTACTTGGATTATTATTAAGACCCAATTGAGAATCAGCCTGATATGTTGGAATAAACCTGGACTTTAGCCTATGATGAACCTGAATTGGTTTTTATTCCATTTCTACCACTCTGTGATATAAAAATGGGAATAATTACTGCTGAGTCTTGTGAGGAACAAATGTGATCATGAATGCCCATAATCACATTTTTTTGTAATGGAGCAGTTTGGGGACTCAAAACTGTAGGAAACAGAAACTACTAGAGGCCCTTGGCACTTACTATTTAAGCATCTGATGATTCTAGAATTTTGTGAAACCATAGAACCAATATTAATAGACTAGATCAGATGCTAGATAGAAAATATATCTAATATCCTATATAATAAAAGGCTAATATGCAAATTGTCCCCACGGGAGTTCGACCGCTCGCTATGACGTGCGCTAACCACCAGGGGGCAGCGCCGGATGAAGGAAGGCCCCAGCCGGCCCTGATCACCGGCCAGGCCTAGGGACCCTACCGTGTACGAGTTTCGTACACCAGGCCTCTAGTTAATATATAAGAAAGGAATGCCCATTTACTTTTAAAATATTTGAAATGGTTTTGGGTATATTTAAACTAGGGGAGTAGAATTTGACAGTGATGTTGGACTCAGTGTGTTTTTTCTCTTTTGTCCACTTAAATGATAGTAAGCATTCTGGGGGGAAAAAAGTAAATCTAAAATTGTTTAGTAGATAAATCATGTCTCCTTTTGCCAAGTTGATTGATATAACTTATCCTCTCTTTTATTCCTTTTGCACCTTCCATGTTAGTCTTTTTCCTTCCTTATGAGAATAGGCTTAAGTTTTCTTTGCCCCTTTGTTAATTGCATGCAATTGTAGCTATTAAAGAAGTGGTAGCTCTAAATTTTGATGATAAGAAGGAAGAAACAGAAAAAGTTACCTGTGTCCTAAGGTAAAGAAGATCATCACCATGATTCAGTTGGGTTCCGAGGTTGAAGGAAAGAAGAATAGTTATTATTTTCTTTTTCTTCAAAATGAGTAGAGGTGATATTTGGAAAAGTATATATTGTTAGCTCCATTTGCTCCTTTGGGTCTCTGGTATCCAGTACCCCTGTAAGGGAGATGCAGGCTGTAGTTAATTATTCTCAACTGTGGTGTTGACACATTGGCATATTATGATCATTTGTGTGCTGTATTTAAGAAATATTTTTGATGATAGTTAAAATATTAATTTTGCAAACGATTTGCTTTTTTAAATAGATCAGAGTGATTAAAGGCTATCCTTGTAGTAATGTTTCCTCCCCTTTGCTTGCATTTGGATAAGCTTTTTAGAGTGGGAGGGAGGGGAAGAGGAGTTACAAGCAGTCAGAATTCTTCTGCCTAGTTTTATCTATCACCCAGCCTATACTTGTATGTGAGTTTTTGGATTACTTCTCCAGATATGTGCATCATTGTTTCCACTTCTTTATGTTCCAGGGCAATGGTTCTTAATCAGGAATGTGTTAGAATTGCTTGGGAGGCTTTTTCAGGAACATGTCTGGGCTTTAGATGGATCTGTTTCTGTTCAGCAGACCTCAGGTGGGGCCAAGGGGATGTGTATGTTTTGAAAGCTACCTAGGTGATTCTGATTTACAACCCCAGGATGAACTCTGTTCCAGGAATATCATTGGATCTAAATATGCACCTGCCTGTAGCAAGATGCATATCTTCTTCACCTAAGTTGCATTTATTTTAGGTTATTTGCTGTATCAGTTATTGTGAATTTATCCTCAGCTGTTTTTATGCTTATTGTTGGTATCTCAGCTGTCATATTTGCTAATGTCATTCATAATTTCATATAATTTTGAGCTTTAGTTTTATCTGTAAAATGGGATGATAATTTCTATTCTATTCTTAAGAAGAATAAAATTATAAAAGGATCATATGAGAAATGATAAAGTGCTTAAAGACAGTGTTATAATTACTGTAATTAATATTTTTTCACTGTATAATTAATGCTGGTTCCAATTCTAGCTATACAGTTTTAGTTTATAATGTGGCTATTTCTGACAGTTGATCCATTTTTAACTTTTATTTCAGTTTAATTTCTTTTTTTTTAAATCTTATAAACTCATACGTTGTTAGGTAGGCACTGTTTTAAAATAGCACTTTTTGCATACGTGCAGGTAAGACCATAAATATCTCTTGCAAACATTTTGGCTATATTTCAAATGTTATTCTGGTCTGTATTAGCTTTTTATAATATTATTCAAAATATAGGGGTCAATCCCAGTTTATTAAAGTACAGTCATCAATTTGTTTGGAACCAATTTTGAAGACTTTTCAGTGCTTTTCAAAACTTTAGTGATTTGAGATAGTATTTTGAGTTGAGTACTCCTTTTCCTTGCAATTCCCTGATTTATATTCAAAACAGGGAATTGAGGAAGGAAGTAACCGGGGTACTGACACATGATATAAATGATTTATAGCTGGAAGTTTTTAAAAAACAAATACATATAAAGAAATCAGAATATAAATGGATATGAGGAGTATGAAGATGTAGCCATTCTAGTACATACAAAGCACTATTTTTTTCCATAGTAGGTGGAGTCTATTGAAGAAAATCTGATGATCATGAATGCATAACTCACACAAACAAAAAGATCTTTAGATTTTTATTCCTTCATTCAACAGATATTTACTGAATATCTATGTGCAAGACACCAATGAGTAAGACGCAGTTCCTGTCTTCAAGTAGCTTAAAGAAATAAAACAAGTAGTTTTTTTTCAAGTAGAAATAGTAAGTCTTCCCTACATTATAGTTATTATAGTTATTTGGAATAATTGCCATAAACAAAATAGTATGGTAGTTTAGAGTAGGGGAAGATAATTTCCAACTGGAGGAATGTAGAATATTACAATAAACTCTGGTTGTTGGTAAGACTTTTTACCAATAGAGAGCTTCTACAATAGGAAGGATAGAGTTGTAGGTTTTTTTTAAGTACTTGATGTTATATAACTAATATGTCATTTTTATAACTTAAAAAATCTTTTTAGCCCTAACCGGTTTGGCTCAGTGGACAGAGCGTCAGCCTGTGGACTGAAGGGTCCCAGGTTCCATTCCGGTCAAGGGCATGTACCTTGGTTGTGGGCACATCCCCAGTAGGGGGTGTGCAGGAGGCAGCTGATCGATGTTTCTCTCTCATCGATGTTTCTACTCTCTATCCCTCTCCCTTCCTCTCTGTAAAAAATCAATAAAATACATTTTTTTAAAAATCTTTTAAAAATGTTTTATTTAATTTTTAACAACTGCTTTTCTGTTATCTTGTATATAGACTTCTTCATAAACACTTTCTAGTTTAAGGAAGTGTTGTGTAACCAATGAAATCATTTGAATTCTCATTTTGAGCCTAGCGTTTTTGTTCACACTCCTCCCCCAAAAGTTAGCCACTTACCCTTAATGATGTCATTCTATGTCAACTTCCCACCAAGACAACCTTTAACTAAGTAGTGGGCAGGGATTTATTTGACCTTTAGTTCAACCACATAAATGATTTAAGATATCACTTTAAAAATTTTTGAAAATCTTTTAAGTTGAGTATTTTGAATTATTGTAAGGAAAATGTATTGCACTTTAAATATTCCTGCAAGGATATATAAGCATGTGAGATATTTGAAACTGAAATGTGGATTTAAATATACACAAATATATAAGGATATGAAATTATGAAATATCTGCATGCCTACTTTTTTCCCTGTAAAATTGAAATAAGTGTTATGAACTTGATTAGGTTAAATTCATTTTTTTTTCTGGCTCTTTGTCTTTTGAATAAACAAATAGGTAGTAGAGTCAAACGCAGGAAGCCTGATCCAAACAGAATAAAATTAATGGTGACAGTAATTCTTTACTCGGTAACCCAAAGTAGAAACTATGGAGCCATCAATGATTCTTTTTCTTTTTTATATATATATATTAATTTTTATTGATTTTAAAGAGGGAGGGAGAGGGGGAGAGAAATAGAAATGTCAATGATGAGAGAGAATCATTGATTGTCTGCCTCCTGCATGCCCCCTACTGGAGATCGAGTCCACAACCCCGTCATGTGCCCTTGACCGGAATCAAACCTGGGACCCTTCAATCCACAGGCCGATGCTCCGTCCACTAGGCCAAACCAGCCAGGGCAAGGATTCTTTTTCTTAACCCTAATGTTCAGTCAGTCACCAAGTACTATCAATTTTATCTTTTAAATAATCCTTCATTTCTATTATTACTACCATATTTCAGACATACTCTCATCATAACTCATATTATTGTAACAACCTCTAAAACTGATCACCTTGCTTTCTCTTTTCAATCTGTTTATTGCCACCAGAATTCTTATTTGAAAATTCCAATCTGATCATGTGATTCCCCTGCATAAAATCATTCACTGATTGACACTCAGAGAATAAAATCCAAATCCCTAAATGTACTCTGGCTTTTGGTTCTCTTTCTAAGCAAGGGAAAGGCACCCCATTCCCATCCGGGCTATTTTGGTGATTCTTAAAATCTTCTCTTCCACTGAGGCTATATCTTCTATACTGGAACACCTTTGGACACACTGTTTCCTTTTCTTAGATTGCCTACCTGTTCCCCTTCTCCCTCCCTCTCCACCTTTTTGCTTCATAAACTCCTATTTTCCTTTGTGTTGTTTGCCTACCTGTTCTGTAAAATCCTTGAAAGTAGCAGTTGTGATACCATCATGGTATCACTATAAATCATTGTTTTTAAGAAAGCACCTGAAAGAATCAACACTATTAGTAGTATTTGTTATATTCGAGACACTTGTTAAGAACTTAACACTTTATGTCTAATCCTCACAACAGCCCACTGAGACAGAACTGTTGTTATTAGCTCCATTTTATGCAGTGGGAGATTTAAGAAATTTAATAACATTTGCAAGGTTTTCATTGTTAAGATTTAGTTTGGTAGGATTCAAAGGCTTCTTCCCTTGAATCCGTAATGCACTAAGACCCACGGTGTTAACCCATTTCTGAAGATTTGTTTGCATTCTAACACGGAATAAGTCTATAGTATATATTAAAAAAAGGATATCTAATTTTAGTATAAAGGCCGCTGAAGTGATCACACAAAAATGGATATCTAATTGAGACAATTTAGAAATAACTAAAGTGATTGAAGAAGGTTTTTCACTGACGGAAGTTCTCTTCATGTGTCTGAAGCAAAGACACATTGCTAGGTATTCTGTTTGTAAGCACATTTTAGTGAACTTTTGTTTCCACAATTTGGATAAGGGGGGGTAAGGTATATATTTTTTAGAGAGCTTTATTGACATATATTAAATTGCACTTGTTTAAAGTATGCATTCTGGTGTTTGTTTGTTTTTAAAATAATTCTTTATTGTAAGTATTACATATGTCCCCTTTTTTCGTTCTGGTAAGTTTTGACATATGTACAGCCTTGAAATCATTGCTTACAATTGTGATAATTAGCATGCCCCTTTTCCCCCAGTTTCCCCATCCACTCCAACCCCCAATCTGCGGTCTGACATTATAGATTATTTTACATATTTTAGAGTTTTATATCTATGGAATCGAATGGCACGTGCTCTTTAAGCCTGGCTTTCGCTCAGTATAATTATTTTGAGATTCATCTGTCGTGTTTATCAGTAGTTCATTCTAAAGTTGCATATTTTGAATTGTATTTGTTATAGAAATAATTATTTTCTTTTCCTTCATGGTATCTTATACCTTAGAAAGGTTTAGATGAGACTGATTGAAGATTATTGAAGCCCCTTGTGGAACTTGTTTTGATATACTCTGTAAAAGTCCATTGACTGCAAGGATTTTAAATGCATTTACATTTCCAATGAGTAGTCTTTTAGTCCACTATTAAGAGACTGAGGTAAAATCAAGCTGTTCAGCTCAGTTTTGGAGTATAACATTGTACTTCTGAAGATTTTCTTCTTGACTCTTCTAGGGGAACCTTGGGAGAATGAAACCCTTCTGCTTGGTCTCATGTGAGAAGTGGGTATCCCCAAAGTGGCTATCTCAGAACTTCACATTGGCATTAGCTCTAGATATTAAGCGATAAAGTGCAAACCAATCAATATGATTTGAATGACGTGTGTTAACTCTATTTGGAGCTCAATTTGAATGGGAGAAAAAGGTGTCTTTGCCACCCAACCTTAGATTTTAAACCTTGTTATTTAATTTGGGAGGGAAAATATTTTAGTCTGCTGTTTTTTAAAAAATGAAATGGTTAATAGCCATTATTATTGCTATTTGAATCTTACGCTCCTTCCCCCCCCCCTTTTTTTTTTAAATTTCAGGTGGGTATAACCCATATATAGAGATAATTGAACAACCCAGGCAGCGGGGAATGCGTTTTCGATACAAATGTGAAGGGCGATCAGCGGGCAGCATTCCAGGGGAGCACAGCACAGACAACAACCGAACATACCCGTCTATCCAGGTAATGGACCATTCTCCTGTGTTTGTGTCTCACTCTTAGTCGCTTCATATTTTAGCTACAGCAATTGCATTAAAGGCCCAGTTTCTTTACAGTCATTTCCATGGGCTTTTCTTCTTTTTAACTAGAGGCCCGGTGCATGAAATTGTGCACACGTAGGGTCCCTAGGCCTGGCCAGCAATCAGGGCCGATCTGTGGGGCGACTGGCGGGGCGATTGCTGGCCCTGCCCTTTGCTGCCTTCCTCTGTGAGGTGACTGGGGGTGGGGGGTGGGAGGTGGGTGCCGCTGGCACCCACCTTGGCTGGCCTGGGGGCAGATCCTGCATTGAGCATCTGCCCCCTGGTGGTCAGTGCGCATCATAGCCGCCAGTCATTCCACCAGTCATTCTGCCATTCAGTCAATTTGCATATTAGGCTTTTATTATATAGGATTGATTTGTACTAAATAGCTATCTAGGGTCATTTCTTAACTATAGTATGGATTCTTCATCCCTGCTGATAGTTTCGTTTGTGTGTTAATCTAAGTAGAGTAGAGTGATTCACAGTGCTAAGTGTACATTGGCAGCTTTTGGGTGATGATTCCTCTCATGAAACACAGAGCTAATGAGGAGAAAACATTCTCTCCTTCCAGCAGTGAGCAAAATCATTCCGTAGATTAAAGACGTGGATTTGGAAACCCAATCAGAATTCTTTCTACAATTATTTGGCTAAACTAGGGTCTACGGGAAAGGAGAATGAACATTTTTGCCTCCTTTTTCCTTGCCTTTATTATCTATCCCTGATACTCTGGGTTTCATTGACTTATTTGAAATATAGTCATTTTCTAAATAGTTTTTGATGTTAGCATAAGTTTTAAAAGTAGTTTTTGATCCAAAATGACAGTATATTCTACTTATAAAATATACTATATTTCATTTGATTTTTAATGAATTTTTATCTGTTAAATGCCAATTAAAAATTTGAATGGCAGCGTGGATTTTGAAAAGTGTTATTTAGTCTTTCCTCAACAGATGTTAATTCACTGTTTTATAACTAAATTGTTTACAAAGTTTATTCTATTGAACTTAAGGGGAAGGCTAAATTATAAAATAAAGCAATGGCAAAATTATTGAATTGTAAGATCCTAATTTTTGTCACTTTTTTGGCAGCAATATGGATTTGAGTTATCTAAGTCCTTTTGTTTAAATGTTAAAATGAGAGAAATGCTACTAAAAGGTAGCATTCCATAATTCAGCTTATTCTGTACATTCTCTAAAATATTTCTAAGATCCAGTAGGTTCTGAACCCTTTACATCTTGAGTTTTACATCAGCCTATTTTACAGTTTTAAGTGGTCACTGTCTCTTTTATTCAGAAAGGCAATAAATGCTTCCTGGTTGCTTTTCAAATTAAGTTTAAATTCAGGATTATGGATTTTAGTGTCCTCTTTCCTGTAAAGCTACCCATCATTATGTAACTGCTTTGCTCCTTTGTCCTATCTGGTTTTTATATTCCCTGCTTTGTGTTTGCAAACTTCCTATCTTCCAAACTGAACCTTCTCTTCCTTCCCATGCTCAGAATACCCTCTTTCCATGTTTAACTCTCCGCTTTATTCTCAATGTCCTAGATGTATTTACTGTGTGAAAACAATTTTGTGAAACTCAACTTGATTTATTGCCTACTGTACAGCAAACACTTGGGATAGCTAACTGATGAACAACTATTTTTGTGAGCTGAAATGTCACATATTAAATAAAATGGTCCTATGTATTGGTGTGCTATCATATCCAGTATGGCTTAAGTATATACTTCGAAGGGATGTTTATGGTATGACAGTGAATCTAAGAGCATGGCATTTGGTGACTTAATGATTAAGTATTTTCTCATGCACCGTGATAATATTTTGGTATAATTTTACTTGTTTTTAAAAGGAAACTAAGCAGAATCAGATGATAATGGCCAATTGAAATTAATATGCCAAGGAACGGAGAGGTAAATTCTTCGCTACTGGTATTCTTGGCGGGTTTCATCCAAACTGCAGTTGCCAGCCAACTGGATACAGTACTAGCCACATTATATAAACTGAACCTTCATTTAGTAGAATAGATCTTCATGAGGAATATTTATGGATCATTTATTTCTTTCTTTTTCAGATTAAGAACTGTTATGGAAAAGGAAAAGTGAGAATTACATTAGTAACAAAGAATGACCCATTTAAACCTCATCCTCATGATTTAGTTGGAAAAGACTGCAGAGATGGCTACTATGAAGCAGAATTTGGACAAGAACGCAGGCCTTTATTGTAAGTATATTGAGTTGTCATGCTTATTTAGTCTCCTTTAATTTAGAGCAGGTTCCCAGCCTTTTTTCATCTTTCATGATGTTAACATTGTTGAAACGTCTAGGCTGTTTGTTTTGAATATTGTTGTTCAATATGGATTCGTCTGAATGGTTGCTCCTGATTATATCCATGTTCCCATGAATAGCACGAATGATATTTTCATGTTAATATGAAACATTTTGGACAAGGAATCTACGGAGGCGATGCTGTATTCTTCTCAAAATATCTCTTCAGGAGACGTGATACTAGTTTTTCCCACTTGTGATATTAATTGGCATTCTACTGTAGAGAAAAACTTTCCCATTTTACCTTCCCCATATAAAAAGAATAACACTATAGACCAGTGATGGCGAACCTATGACACGCGTGTCAGAGGTGACATGTGAACTCATTTTTTTTGGTTGATTTTTCTTGTTAAATGGCATTTAAATATATAAAATAAATATCAAAAATATAAGTCTTTGTTTTACTATGGTTGCAAAGATCAAAAAATTTCTATATGTGACACGGCACCAGAGTTAAGTTAGGGTTTTTTAAAATGCTGACACGCCAAGCTCAAAAGGTTCGCCATCACTGCTATAGACCCATGGATTTTTATAGTCAGTGTACTGACATTGTTTTCATTTTCGGATTGACCCAGATTGGACTATTCAGGCCCCTTCAGACTGTTTCCACTGTCCTTTGGACATGGCCCCATATTTCTTTGAGCACTTCTTTACTTCCTGACACAACAAAGTGTTCAAGACTTACTTCTCCTTTTCTTGCCACTGCCCTGAAATCAGCTCTTTTCTCAGGAGCCCTAGTTTTTTTCAGTGGGGAATGTACTTAGTCTGATTGTCTTTTTGACATATTCTCTTAAATATCTCAAAAGAACCTCAGATAGAATACGCCCCACACCATGCTCTTACATAATCATACCGCTTTCCTCTCAAAATCGGTCTCCTAACGTACCTTATCTAAGTCAGCGGTCGCCAGTCGGTGGTCCGTGAGGCCCAAAAGGTTGGCGACCGCTGATCTAAGCGGTTGCTATAAAAGCCCCAAACCAAGTTTCATCCTTGACACCTCTCACACAGGTGCACACGTTGAGGTCACTGATGGGTACTTCCTAAAGAGTTCTTGAGTCTGTCTCTCCGCTTGTCTCCGTGACCTCCCTCACTTCCCCGCTACCGACGCGGCCGTCTAAATGTGGGCTGCGGAGAACAGCCTCTGACTGCTCTTCTCCCGTCAGCTCTTTTTGTGTCCTCCACTTTAGCCAAAGTGATCGTTCTAAAAAAAATTTAAAATCAATTTATTTATTCAGCGTGATCTTTTGAAATACAAATCTGATGGTCACATCTCTGCCTAAAACATGTTAATGGCTTTATGTGACTCTTGTGATTAGGACAACATTCCTCAGAAAGCCCAGGTGACCTGCTTGTATCTCCAGCCTTCTGGTCTGCGGTGTTCTCCTTGACCGCCATGCTCCAGTCGCAAGGCCTTCCTTTAGTTTCCGGGGCTCACAGTGCTCTTCCGTGGGCTCCTCGGCATGTTCTTTTTCTTCGGCCTGAAGTCTCTTGATTCTCCTTTTCCCCTCGTTCATTTCTGTTCATAATAAGTGTCACTTCTGACAAGAAGCCTGTCTGCCTTCCCTGAGTTAACCACTTCTTTCTCCTCATAGGGCTCTCATGGCAGCATGTCCATCTCCTTTATAAAAATTGTCATGGTTTCAGTTTAGTGTTTTTGTGTGTGTGATTCCTTAATGTCCATCTGCTTCACTACACTAAAGGTTAGCAAGTTTCTTCCGTAAAAAGGCCAGAGAGTAAATATTTAAGACTTTGCAAGCCATATGGTCTCTGTGGCAACTTCTCAGCTCTGCTGGGGCAGCATGAAAGCACATCAGCAAATCCATTGAGTTGTGCTCCAATAAAATTTTGCTTGAAAAAGCAGGCAGGAGGCCAGATTTGGTCCATGGACTGTAGTTGGCCACTCCCTGCACTAGTCTGAACTTCGTGAAGGGAAGGATTATATACCCCCATTTTCCCAGAGTTTTTGGTACATGGTAAGACCCCAAAACTTATTGAATGACTATGAAGGAATGAATGTATGATTTAAGCAATCTCTATGATCCTTGGTTTCCTCCTGTCAGAATTTCAGGAATCTCTACCACTTCTAATCTGTGACTAGCAGTCAAATATGATTCAGATGAAACTAAATCAAGTAGTGTAAAAATATATTAAAGGGGAGGATTCTTTACAATCTTTTGTCAAAGAAAAAGAACCAAGCTAAGAATCTTTCTTTCAAAGAAGCAGAATACTTTTGAGGAAGAGGATTGTGGTTTCGGGGTTTCAAGAAAGGATTATGAATTCGAGACTCTTTTTTTTTTTTTTTTTTTAGTTATTGGAGGCAGAGGAAAGAAATGTCAAGGATAGTTTAGGTGCTAACAACATCACAATGCGGTAAATGTGAACAGCATGAGCAGCATGAGCCTGGAGAGGGGCAGGCAGGCAGGCAGCCTCCTGTTGCAAGTGCCCTGTGAAGTTTGAACAAATAGGAATGTTATTATAATCAGTTTTGCTTCCTTATTCACACCCACCCAACTTGAATGATGTCATGGTTTTTCCATGTGGGAACAAGTATGACTGGTGGTGGTAGGGGAGTTCCCCCAACCATCATCTGTAGTACACATGCAAATTAGTAATATTTGTAGCTATTGAGAAGTTTTCCATAAATGACATTTTGAAACTTTTGTTAAATATTATTGTTAGTATCAAACATCTTTCTAATTAAAGAACACATTTCAGTGCTTTCTTATGATGATTGATTATTATAACTTCATATAATGTGACATAAAATACGTTCCACTGCTACTAGCAGTGTTGTCAGGGCTCAAATAACGAGTGTCTGTGGAGTGGAGTGTGCCAGGTGTGAGAGGACTCACAGGCACCATAGCAAACTGGAGAGCCCTCCATCAGCTTCAGCAAGGTGTTTCTGAACCAGCCTACTGTCGGCAGACCTTTAAAACAGGCAAGAAACCAGAAATCCAGATATTTGTATGCAGTTACCTGATTTTTAAATGTTGGTAGTCTATGAACATTTTTTTAAATGTAGACAACACTTTTATGAGCTCAGCAAAATATACCTGTGGGCTTCAGCCTGTGGGTATCTTTTATAAATTTTGCTTTACATTATCAAATATACAGATTCTATTGATTTGATAATGAATTTGGTTAGGAGGTGAATTTTAGCTTTTTAAAAAATATATTTTTTATTGATTTCAGAGGAAGGGAGAGGGAGAGAGAGATGGAAACATCAAAGATAAGAGAGAATCATTGATTGGCTGCCTTCTGCATGTCCCCCACTGGAAATCAAGCCTGCAACTCGGGCATATGCCCTTGACGGGAATCGAACCTGGGACCCTTTAGTCCCCAGGCAGACACTCTATCCACTGAGCCAAACCCGCTAGGGCTGAATTTTAGCTTTTTGATGTCACTTCCCTGTTAATTTTTACCTACTTTGGTATATTTTACCTACACATATTAATAAGGTATAATTGTAAAATACTGTATGCAACAGCTATCTGGTATGCATTATTTTTCTTTTAACAGTTCTCTTAGAATGTAACCCCACTTTTTTAGCCTCATACCTTTATTATAGCATTTGGAAATTTACAACATGCTTTATCATCTCCATCTGACAGTATGGAGACTCTTCTCTGTTGGATGGATGCTTAATACTTAGGATATTCTTTGGTATTTATGTGTTTAACTATAGTGCATTTTGACAGTTCTGTTTTTTTCTTTCTAGTTTTCAAAATTTGGGTATTCGATGTGTAAAGAAAAAAGAAGTAAAAGAAGCTATTATTTCAAGAATAAGGGCAGGAATCAATCCTTTCAATGGTAAGTATGTTTGATATAGTCATTTCTGTTATTTGGATATTGATTTATTTATGTGTTTTCTATTTGTATTTTAAACCTATGGTTAAAAGCTATCTTAAATTCTGTGTTCACTTTTCTACTTGTTGACTTGTATCTATGAATAATGAAGTATATTCAATATCTTTCAGTGTTAAAAAATTCTTATGCTTTCTTATATCAGTGGAGATTGCCATTTTTCTATAAGAAAACCTCATAAATGTTCTTTTTCATTCTGGAATGTAAAGCTCTTTTTAATTCAAGTATCATTGACATACAATATATATTAGTATCAGGTGTACAACATAGTGATTTGTCATTTATATACCTTATAAATGCAAGAAGTCTAGTAACCATCTGTCACTGTACAAAGTTGTTGAGATATTATTGACTGTATTCACTGTGCTGTACTTTATATTCCCATGACTCACTTATATTATAACTATAAGTTACTACCGCTTAATCCCCTTCACCTTTTTGCCTATCCCCCCCCTCCCCACCTTCTGGCAGTTTGTTCTCTGTATCTATGAGTCTGTTTTGTTTGTTCATTTATTTAGTTTTTTTCATTCCACAGATAAGTGAAATGATGTAGTATTTGTCTTTCTCTGACTTATTTTACTAAGCATAATACCCTCTAGGTCCACCTACGTTGTTACAAATAGCAAGATTTCATTCTTTATTACCGCTGAATAATATTCCATTGTATATGTATACTACATCTTCATTATCTGTTCATCTGTTGATGGACACCTAGCCTGCTTCCATTATTGTATATAATGCTGCAATAAACATAGCATATATCTTTTTGAATTAGTGTTTTCAATTTTCTTTGGATAAATTCCCAGAAGTGGAATTATTGGGTCCTTCTTTGTCTCTTGTTATAACTTTTGTTTTAAAGTCTATTTTGTCTGGTATAAGCATTGCTACCCTAGCTTTTTTTTGTTGTTTCCATTTTCATGAAATATCTTTTTCCATCCCTTTACTTTCAGTCTGTGTGTCTTTTGATCTAAAGTGACTCTCCTGGGTCTAGTTTTTTTATTCATTTAGATACCTTGTGTCTTTTAAATGGAACGCTTAGTCCATTACATTTAGGTATATAGGTATTGCCATTTTAATTGTTTGCATACTAGCTTTATAAGTGGTTATATCTTTACTATATGTTTGCCTTTACTAATGAGATCTTTTTTTCTTTCAGTTTCTTATTTCTAGTTTTGACCTCTTCTTTTTCACTTAAAAAATTCATTTTCCCCTAGCTGGTTTAGCTCAGTGGATAGAGCATTGACCTGTGGATTGAAGGGTTCTGGGTTTGATTCTGGTCAAGGGCACATGCCCGGGTTGCGGGCTCGATCCCCAGTAGGGGGCGTGCAGGAGGCAGCCAATAAATGATTCTCCCTCATCACTGATGTTTCTGTCTCTCTCTCCCTCTCTGAAATCAATAAACATATCTAAATAATAATAATAATAATAATAATAATTCCTTTTAGCCCTATAGCCAGTTTGGCTCAGTGATTAGAGTGTTGGCCCTCAGACTGAACGGTCTCAGGTTTGATTCTGGTCAAGGGCACATACCTCAGTTGCAGGCTCGATCCCCAACCTGGTCAGGGCACATGTGGGAGGCAACCAACCGATGTGTCTCTCCCCCTCCCTTTCACTCTCTCTCTCAAAATCAATGGAAAAAATGGCCTTGGGTGAGAATTAATGACAACAAACATTTTTTTTAAAAAGAATTCTCTTTAACATTTCTTGTAATGCTGGTTTAGTGGTGATAAACTCCTTTAGCTTTTGCTTTTTGGGAACCTCTTTACCTCTTTCAATTCTGAAAGATAATCTTGCTGGGTATTCTGGTTGTAGGTTTTCCCCTTTTGTCAACTATATTCCCTTGAATATATCTTGCCAATCCCTTTGGCCTGCATAGTTTCTGTTAAAAAATAGCTCATAGTCTTATGGGCATTCCCTCATATGTATCTAGTTGTTTTTCTCTTTCTGCTTCTACGATTTTTTTCTTTAACTTTTAACATTTCAAAAATGATGTGTCTTGATGTGGGTCTCTTTGGGTTCATTTTGTGTGGGGCCTCTCTATGCTTCCTGAGTTTGGATATCTGTTTTCCTTGCTGAGTTAGGGAAGTTTTCAGCCATTATTCCTTCAAATAGGTTTATTGTCCTTTTCCCTCTCTCTCTTCTCCTTCTGGGACTGCTATGACATGAGTGTTAGTACACTTGATGTCCCTTAGGTCCCTCATTATTTTAAATTCTTTTTTCATTTTCATCTTCCCGTTGGGTGATTTCCATTATCCTTTATTCCTGATCGATGATCAATTCTTCTGAATTATCTGATCTGCTGCTGATTTCCTCTAGTGTATTTTTGCATTGCAGTTGTTACATTCTTCAGTTCTGATAGGTTCTTTTTTTTTTTTTTTAATAATTTTTATCTCAAGTTCTCACTGAGTCTATCCACTTGTCTAAAGAGTTTGAGGAGCCTCTTTATGACTATTACTTTGAACTCTTCTCTAGGAGACAGCTTGCCTTTGTTTTGCTTAGTTATTTTTCTGGGTTTTTTCTTGTTTGGAACATATTCTTTTGTCTCTTCACTTTGCCTGTTTGTTTCTATGTATTAGGTAGATCAGCTACATCTCCTGGTCTTGAAAAAGTGGCTTTACTTGGAGGGTGTCCTGTGGGGCCCAGAGGTAGAATTCTCCCTTGTCACCAGAGCCAGGTACTTCAGAGGTGTTCCCTGTATGAAATAGTGTGGCCTCCTGTTGTGGTTGGGCCACAACTGCTAAGGACACACTGGTAGGCGAGGCTGGTTCCTGGCTAGGGTGGCTGTGTAGCTTTGCCACAACTGTTACGGGCACACTGGTGTTCAGTACAGACTGTCAGTGTAGCTGCCTGCAAGGCCCAGTCTCAGCTGTTGCAGACACACTGCTGTGTACTGGTGCTGACTAAGGTGTAGCAGGGAAGGAGTTGCTTTGGAGGGGTGCCAGCTTGGGTGGGTCATCAGGGAAATGCCAGGGTGGGGTGAATAGTATTAGCATGCCCTGGCCAGTGTTGGTCAGTTGGTTGGGTGTTGGTTGTCCTGAGCACCGAATGGTTGCTGTTTGATTCCTAGTCAGGGCACATGCCCGGGTTGCAGGCTCTATCCCCGGTGGAGTGTGCAGGAGGCAGCCGATTGATATTTTGCTCTCACATCAATGTTTCTCACCCTCTCCCTCTCTCTCTAAAAATCAATAAAAATATTTTTTTGAAAAATATTGTTAGCAAGGTTAATGAAGAGTGTCAGAAACGGTTCTTGCTAGTGTCAGAACAGCTAGGGAGGAGAATAAAGAAAGGGACAGTTGGCGCCCACTAGCACTTCTGACACAAGAGAAAATTCTAACAGATACCTGTCCCTCCAACACACACCCTAAAAGTAGTCACTGTATCACTTTCACACATGGCCCAGGTGCTTTTCAAACTGCTGCCTCTGCACTGGGGCTCAGAGCACAAGCTTGGTTTGCTCTCAGCCCTTCGGCTCTCCCAGATGTAAGCCCTGTTGGTTTTCAAAGACAGATGTTATGAGGGCTCCTCTTCCTCTTGCAGGTTCCCAGGCTGGGGCTCAGACCCCTCACTCTTTATGGGGGGACTTCTGCCGTTGTGATATCCCTCTCACTTGTGGGCAACTGCGTGGGGAGTGGTAATAGGGTAGGTCCTGACTAGACTGAGTTTCTACCCCTCCTACCTCTCCATTTGGCTTTTTCTTTAGATCCGTAATTGTGGAAAATGTGTTCTGCTAGTCTTAGGTCATTCTAAGAGATACCTCTTCTTTATGTAGTAGTTGTAGTTTTGGTGTCAGTGAGGAGAAGTGAGCTCAGATCTTCCTACTCCACCATCTTTAACTCAGAGCAAGAGCCTTGCTCTTGAATGCCATGTAGTTTGTCTGTGAAATGTTATTCCTTACAGTTAGTGCACTGTCCATGCAACAAACGTGTCTCTGGATCCTCTCAGAAATGTTCTGTTTCTTTTTGAATGTGGGTGGCCTTGCTTTTGCCACTTTAGCAGACAGTATGCGCTCTTCTTTCTCAATGTTGAATAGGCATTATGTCAAGGTATTGGAGGGCATTTAACTCAAAAGCATATTGAACAGCGAAACTGAAAGCCCAATGTGGGAGAAGTTTAGAAATAGTAGAAACTATACAAAATATTTTCGCAGCATATTTCTGTATATGGCTAGATATTTACTGTTTAGTGGATTTTAATCACTGTATATTGTTTTGCTAGATAAATGATACCACGCTAAATGCTAGCATTCTACACCACAGTAGTCTCCTTATAAAGTCTTCATCGGCTACTTAAATATGCATAATTAATGAATTGAACATCTATAACATTTTCAAAGCATAGATTTCTTTGTCATACTTAAGACATCCTTATTTTGTTGGTTTGTGTTTTTCCTGGATGAAAAAAAAATTTAAGGGGATATGATGAAAATTTAAGGAATATTCTTGTAGACAAATACTATATTTTTATAAGCCATAAGGTTTGTATCTCTTTTCTCTAGGTCTTTGTTTTTCCTGCTATTTAGTATAATGTGGAAAGCAAAAGTCCCCTTCTTCCCTGTCACTCTTAACTCTCCAGAGGAAATCACTATTAAGTTTGATGTATATTTTTCTAGAATTTACTTTATACTTGTGTAGACATATATACACATAGTATTTTTAAAATAAATGGAATTATACTAATTGCCTGTTCTACTGCTTCTTTTCCCTGCACTCAGGAATATATCTTAAATATCTTTCTATGTTAGTATTTATAAATCTATTTTAGTTTTTAACCATATCCTGTTGTTTCAGTGGTTCATAATCTGTTTAGCTAGGCATCTATTAATGAACAGGTTATTGTTCATTTATTCAAAAGCCTTCACTGAATGTATACTTTGAATTCTTGTGTGATATTTTCTTAGGATAAGTTTTCAGAGATTTCTAGGTCAAGAGTATACTCATTTAAATTTT